AAACCCCAAGTGGCAAACAGCTTCATTCCATCTCAGTTGTTGCCAGTCCTCCTAATGCATGATCATACCGTCCTTCCCATTTTCGATTTGTGATCAGTTTTCCTTCCATTGCATCATATAATGATATAGTCTTTCCAAGATTATCTATAACTGCAACCCGTTTGTCATTATCAAGACTTTCTATACGATGAACAATACGTCGGAAATAAGGCTTCGTTCAGCATATGTTTCATTGGCGTCATCATCATGATCCGAATCATCATCTTCATCGTCATCATCTTCATCATCATCATCACCCTCACCTTTTTTGACTTCACTCTTTTTCTGCATCCTTCTCAGATAATCCAGATTCCATACTTTGATGCTGTTATCTGATGACCCAGTGATGGCCAGGGTGGATTGTGGTATATTCACGAAGCACATATCATTGACCTGTTTAGTGTGTGGCAGTCGACATAGATGTTGACAAGGATCATTTCCATCTCCTATTTTCTCTTTAGATGCTTTCCATACCTCCCCAGCATCAGCATTCTCATTCTTTGATACGATAATCTTCCAGTCTTCAGTGAAAAAAAGCTTTTCCATATATCCTCCAACTCGACCACTAAACCAACCCGATCTGCTGATTGTCTTTGCTTCAACATTGTACTGGTAATAGTAATCACTGCGATAATCTTTGAAGAATATCTCTGTGTCATTGTACAAGAATTTTACCTCCTGGGCAGAACTGCAATCTTCTTTAGTTAAGTACATAAATTCATCAGTATAGACATCAAGTATAGCATGTCGATGGAAATGAAATCCAACATAACGACCATTTGATGATACCCCCATGGCATTGCATGCTGTATGTTGTAGCTTAGAGCGATCAATGATCTCGGTTAAATGCTGTCCACTAAGTAGATCCCAAATTTTAATCCCAGGATCTTCATCATGACCACATGTCACCACTAGATAGCGACCTTGTTGTGATCGTGCTACTGCGATGTCATTGATGGTATCTGAACATAAAAGCAAACATCATGATAAATAGTCTAAACAATCATTTGAAAAACTAGTAATTTAAAATTTGCAATATCAACATAATAAGATAAGTCTTATTTCACTGAAGTTGACTGGTCTTACCTTTGTGTGCTTCAACACGCTGATATAATGGGCGACCATTTTCCAAACTCCATACTATGAAATAATACTCGCGAACATAGGTGCAACCCTCAACTCGTTCATCATACATATCACTCACTGCAAATTTTGAGTCAGGCGTATATCTTATTGGTCTGGTTCCCTGAGAACTATGACCTTCGAGCTTCAAGAAGTGTTCACCTGTTTCTATGTTCCATACATTGATTTCGGTACTTCTATCATCTTCTTGCTCTGAGAAAAAAAAATGTACTATGTAACTACTATGATACATACTATATGTGAATTGTTACACACCTCAATAATTATATGTTTTTTTTGGATTGACGTCTTTTCAGTGTACAGATATATTGATGTTAGTATTTAAGCATGTAATTGATATCATGCAGGTGAATCTCAATTGCATATGTGTGTCAATCATAACATACCTGTTGTATAACAATATGTTATTACCATGAGATCATCTGGAGTTATCACAAGGTCGCTAATAGGAGATTTGTGTTGACCTTTCAGAGTGTGATGTATGGAACTGCTTTCCAATTCCCATACTATGGCTGTTGTGTCCCTGGACCCACTAATCAAATATCTTCCATCAAATGTGGTGGCCACAGCTAGCACCTCGTCTGTGTGTCCAATGAGTTGAGTTCTCAACAGGCCGCCAGGTGCTGGATAACACTGATTGTATGGGACTAATGCAAGTTGGTCAGTAGTTGCTTTCTCTGCATCTGAGACAAGCTTAATAAGGTGAGGGCTTTTAGAATCTTTTAACCGTCCAATGATTTCAAAGATGAGATGGTAGGGATTTTCTCTAAGAGCTGATGAACCAACCCTTATAGTGTCGCTTACCATTTGAATATCATCATCATCTTCATATTTTGCTATAGCCATTGTGAAGTCCTGAAGTACTTCAGCGAGATTCATACCCATTAACTTATTTAATATGAATTCATAGTTGCAAAGGGTGTGCTCTTTCAGCTTTTTAACATCATTGGAATGGATCAAATGGTAAGGCAACTGTTCCAGTTTGCGGACATTGTACTGGGTTGCACCACTTCCTGCTTGAAATATATATGGCTGGGGTGCAACCTTTCTGTCTTCCTCGTCTTCCTTCCTTGTCTTATTAAATTTGTTCATCTGCTCACTGGTGTAGTGAAACGGTTTCTTCTTTCCACCACTCCAGTTACCAAGGAAATACTGTGCACACATGATATGTAACCTCTTAACAAACTCTGCATCATGCAAATATCTCTCTGCAGCTGCCTCAATGAACTGTCGATGGTACCAAAAAATAACCCTGGACCCTTCTGCTTCTCTTTCTACCAGATAATCATTAATGTCAGCTCGAATACGTGTCCACAGCAGTGGTGGTATTCTCCGTGTTGGTGGTAACCAGTAAGCATACACATCTTGTAAAACTTCATCATCCAGTGACAGCAAGTCTTCCAATTCAGCTTCACCGATACCATTCTGTGAAATGGTCATGTAACTCAAGGCATGAGACACTAATGCCTTTCCGTGATATTCTTCAAGACGATCAAAAATTACTGCAATCATTCCTTTGACTGAGGGCTGTACATTGATTTTCGAACTCGGCAAATAAGACTGCCAACTAGATGCCTGGTCAAACAACAGTTTTAGGAACAGTGGTAAACTGCATTGTTGAATTGCTGTAGATATGATACCTTGTTGTTCACTGTTGGTGGTTCTCTTCTCAGATTGTAGCCAAGATTGTATGATATGCATACTTTCTTCTACTGATAGTTGTTTCACTTCCACAGCTCCTTCCATGCTAGGAAGAATGTTTTGAAGTGTATTCAAGATACCATGTTCTTTTGGTAGGGTAGACACCAATATGGCCACGTGTGGTGGAAGGTATTTTGGCAACCATGCCATTCTATGAGCTCCTTCTGCAGCTGAAAGTTGGTCCAAAGAATCTAAAAATATCACCAATGGTTTATCATGTGTAGCATATCTTAGAACTTTTGAAAACCAACGAACCACTTGAAAATAGTCGTCAGGGAGCTTTGTGTCACCATGGCCATAGATAGTTAATATTTGTTGACAAACTGATTTTATTAACTGCCGCACACCTGTGCTAGCCGGAGTCGTTCCCAGAAATCTCAGTATGACAGCGCTTTTTCCTTGACCAAACCACTCAGTTGCTGACTGAAAAGCAGCTTTGGCCACTAACGATGTTTTTCCACTGCCTGATTCCCCGTACACTATCATTGGAGATGCATTTTGCGAATTACCGGAAATGCGTTCCTGTATGTAGTTTTTTATATTTAACAAAAGGTCCCCTCGACCATGAAATGATTGACATTTAACTTTGCAGAATTCGAGATGTTGTAGAATTTCTTCATACATAGGATGATTGCTAATATGACTTTTATCTTTCTCAACTGCACGCTCAATTAGTTCAACAATTGTTTCATAAAATGTCTTTAGAAACTTCTCTAAATATTGTTTATGTTCAGGAATGTCCAAATCTACACCTTTCTCCGACCAATTATTGAGACTAGATATGACTACATTTGTTTTGTTTAAGCTCGCTGGAACCTGCTCGTCACGTAGCTGTGTTAAAAGTTGTTTAGCTTCTTCATCAACTTTACCATCTTCCCAGTTTATGTCAATAAAATTCTTAGCCTCTTTGTTGTCACTCTTACTTTCTAGATCTTGGAATTTTCGAACAAAGCAGACACAGTGATCTTCTTTTTTATCTGTGTTTTGGCCAAGTATACCATGCACAACTTCGTCATGTGTAACTAATAAGAAAACAATAGCATTATCATCGATATACCACCCTTTCTATCGAAACAATTACTATTACAGTTATAACTAAAAATTAAATTAGATCTGTCTATGTGTAATTGACACTAAATTAGCCAGTTTATGTATCATTTGGTCAAATATATACACAGTATAAATTATTCAGAAGAATTAATTGAGCATAAGTAATAAAATTGTTCTTTTTATATTACGTAACTTATTGTGAACTCACCAGATATCTTGTATTTTGCTTCTTGTTGGGCATTGAATTTTCCATTTTTAAGGCATGTGGCAGCAGCATCTCTCAATTGTGCTTGTAATGTCTCGAATATTTCCCACCACTTGTTTCTATCCTCCGTCATCTTATCAGGATGATCATTGTCATTAAAATGAATCAATTTAGAACTAATAGGTTGCAGGATATAGATGGGTGGGACAGCATTAGCGTCTTTTTGAAACCAGTCGTTTAATATATCAACTGATTTACCATCTCCATTTAGCACATCTCTCATAGCTTCAAATTCATCTGCTGGAATCTTGGGTGGGAATGGACGGTATCCATACTTTTGGCAGAGAAATGTCTAAAAAATTGTCAAACATGATACATCAGACGACAGTAATGTCAGACATGAGAAAAAATTAAGTATATGCTAAAGTTCAATAATATCTTCAGGAACAAGTCTTAACCAACTACGTAGAAGTAAGTCACTGCTCTTCAGCCACTGATACCATCAAACTGTATTACATTTATGTGTACATTTCAACCGTCGTTATGCTATCATAGATTATTGGGTTCAAGGGTGTGATTAGAGCTGTTGTCAACTTGTCCACACACTAATCAAGATTTTGGAAATTAATGTATATCTGAAAACGAATGGCGAAACTATTCATGCTGCTGTATTTAATTGTGATCTTGCAAGTATTGAGTATTTCCACTAACTAACTATATTACGTGCAGCCTGATTGGTCATTCACCTTGTTTCGAGTGAGAGATATAGTCTAAACTGTAAAATTTATCGTTAAAGATGAATTGTTTTTTTAGACACGACAAACAATAATGATGAAAACTTACCACAAAATTGGGACCAGTTGACAGTTTTTGACAAGCCTTGATTTCATTCATACATAACTGTGACGTCATGTGATCATCTGTGGCTTCGTCTCGTACTCCCCATCTCATATCCACGACTTGAAACTCTAATCCATAATTTGTTTTACAATAATCCTTTATCTTTGGGTAAATCTCACTCATCAGCGCATTTCTTTCAACGGATGTGTCTGTAATAACCATTGTATAAGGAAATTAACGCCACAACCATGCAATATAATGCTAAAAACATTCCCCGAAATGAAGAGTAGAAATAGCACTGTAAATTAACCAAAAACTTTTCTCGTTTGAATATTGATGCAATTATAGATTCAACAAAAGATAACGATTACAATAGAATGTGATTACAATGCACATTTTCAAAACGTGAATAACGACGAAAATACGATATTGCCTGAACTTTAAATTGACATGTTGACCACTCAATAACTATTATTCGTTGTCACGTGACTAAATTATACACATGCCTCGTATTTCCCATGGAACTACCAACACTATGGTTATTCGTAAACTGTGAAGTATTACACAGCATTGCTGTCCAATTCTGTTCAACATTGTTTCTAATATTGTATAAGGCATGTATGAAACTGACATGTCTTCTACATATCTGACAGAAACCTCGAACATGTTGTGTAATATCATTTATATCATACTTGGAAAACAAATGCCCAGGGAATTTAGAGCATTGAATATTTATTTTGTTGCGTGTGTTATGTAGCTAACTGGAGAATTAGAATCTTAATTCATAGAATTTGTTTTTACATCATGTGTATTTAGGTTATTGTTGCATATATCATGTAATTTGGGTTATTGTTGCAGATATCACGTAATTTGGGTTATTGTTGCAGATATCACGTAATTTGGGTTATTGTTGAATTATCACGTAATTTGGGTTATTGTTGTAGATATCACGTAATTTGGATTATTGTTGAATTATCACGTAATTTGGGTTATTGTTGCAGATATCACGTAATTTGGGTTATTGTTGCATATATCACGTAATTTAGGTTATTGTTGAATTATCACGTAATTTGGGTTATTGTTGTAGATATCACGCAATTTGGGTTATTGTTGCAGATATCACGTAATTTGGGTTATTGTTGCAGAATCAAGTAATTTGGGTTGTTGTTGCAGATATCACGTAATTTGGATTATTGCTGCAGATATCACGTAATTTGTAAGTGTATGTGAAGTTGAAGTTTGCTAACCTGTGAATGTAGAACTAGTAAAAATTCTAACAACTCTTGATCTTAATGGTGGTAAAGTATCTCCAACTTTACCAAAAAGTAGTAGTTCTGCATCTTTCGTTGCCATGACTACTTTCTATCTGAAATAACAAAGGTGAGTGTTAAGTTCAATGGCAATAATGTCATATATTTCACACACAAATATATTAATAACTGATTAATATGTTAGTTTGATATTAAACCATCAAACTTTATAAAGAATGGAATTATTCAAAAGATAATATGAGAAAAAAAATCATACATCATGCAGGAAAGGGCCAAAAAATGGGCACAAGTAAAGCCTACGGACTTACCGCTAGTATGCACTCACTAAGTTAGTTTGTAGTTTAACCCACATCAAATTTGTACTGCATATCAACTTTTTGAAGATAGTGTAAACCATTAATTTCACTGCAGCTGCGAACTTCCGTAATTTTATAAATTAATGGCGTTCGTTTGGATAACATTTCGTGTATCTAAAGGAGAGTATCGTGTGTCCAAATGAAGTTGTAACAGCAAATTGGCTTCAAATGACCTGGGATGTGAATTTTGAGACAGATATGATTAATAATAATAATACTATTATTTGTATTATCAAACGAAAAGTACGGTAATCCTATGATATAAAAACAATTTGCAGAAAATGTAATTTGACTTTGTTACGATATTGTAGTCGGATGGACGGTTCCGTATAGAGACCCCGCAACATATCTAAATCACCAATATAATGGTCCCTCTAAACCTTGCAGTATTCTGTACATAACAACTCGTAGCTATTGTATGCGAATACAAACATTGATAAATATTGACATTTGCCGTAATCACCGTACGTTATGCAATTATAAAACCCTTTCTCTTACGTACTTTCATATTAGTAGATGCAAATTTCTGGTTAATTGAATTTGAATTAGATTGAGTAGATTTGAATTCTGAAATGTTTGCAATCTTTAACATTAAGGTAAAATGACAAATCAACAAAAACTGCCTACGGCTAGGGCGTCGCAGTTACGTGATGTGTGCAACTCCTGACCGGCAAATTTCCGACATTATTATTTTCCTTCGCACACATTACATTGACGGATGACTGAACAGTAACACCAGTGAAACACGTGTGTAAATCAAACATAATCACGCAATGCGATGCAGAATTGCTCGGTGCTATTGGACCACCACTGTACTATGCTGGGTCACTATGCGTTGATTCACCAGTCAAGTAATTTACAAAGTCAAGGCTATGGAGTGTTAATCACACTGTCGACAAGACGGTATATCGTAGTTTTTATGACACGAGCAATTCGGAATATTACAAAAATGTTTTGCTTAATATTGCAATACTTACAAGCGTGTGGAACGCCAATGATGAGCAGAACACAATCAGAACGGCAAGACTGCGGCTCGTGATAGATTCATACCGTGAACACAACGATCGTCCGTGACTGATGTGTTGGGCAGCTCATACCAAGTCACGTGATAATGTGTGTTTTGAATACCCTTGGCTGCCAAGGATACCCGCCATAAACAATAGTAAACAGTACGTCCAGCAAAACCAAATTAATATGTGATAAATGATGATAGCCTGAGAGGTGCGTCACAAGGGGAGGGGGTAATTATAGAAATGAATGAAAACATGATTTTCATGTCACTCATCGCGACATGTATCAACACAACTGTTTGTTTGCTCCGAATAATTTAAATCTTGGCAAAGGTGAAAGTGTATATATATCTCTAGAGGGCGTATGTTATATCAGAGAGCTATTTCGAGCAAGTACATGGCACAGTCGTTCCATTTGATTTAGTGACTCAATAGGCAGTGATGGGAATTATCGCCGGTTCGCGACCGAATGAATTTCTGCAAGGCCGACAGTATTGAAAACCAACAAGTTTTTTTAATTGATACAATCAAAAAATTCCCAACTGCTCCTTTTAATATCAAAAGAACAAATTGCGAAAACAATTAGCATATTTTTAACTTTTTTGCAGTGGTATGAATCGGGAAAATTTATTTTAAACATAAAACCCGATCTGTAGCTATTCAGTTTCATTGTGAGCCGGCAATATGGTCCGCCAACAGTATCAAGACACATCGTTGACTTCCAGAAAACTTCGTTAAAAAAAGAATGTCCGATTGAAATAAAATATCGCATATTAGTAAATAATAACCAAATTGATGTACATCAACTAGACTGGCAACGTCGTGACTTCTTTTTTGTTTTACAAAAAATATATAATTAATTGTCAGTTTGGCCTTTTTAGCGTGATTGCGAAAACTAGAGTGACCGCGAAAAATGATTTCGCGGCGAGTGGGGAACATATTTTTTTTAATTAAAGTTACACCTATGATTGAAAAAATCGCCCGACTCTGGCCAGTCTATATATCAACGCCAGTTACAATATTCAACATACATAGTCATTGTTGCGAAAACATTCGTCAAATTTGAAAACAAATTGTAGAATAAAATCAGCCTGAAAGTTGCGTCCATTATCTGCAATCGGCATTTGTGTACGGGCACTATAACACATAATCCATGGAGGAAACGTACTATCGATGTTTGATCTCAAGTTTTTCATCGCAAGGGCATGGAATGGAACAAATGCCAGGTTGCAATTTCGTCCTCAACGATAGCAAATGTGTTGCATTTGTTTGAAACGGAGCAGATAAGGTACTGCCGAACCTTAGATTATTGAAATTAGCCGATACTACTATTGACTGATAGCAGCTGACAACATCAGTCAATAATTGCAACTATTTTTGACAATGAACATTTCAGATTTAAGTTCAAACAAAGACGATAGTCTTTGGTTCAAATTATGGAAAATCTGGTGACATTCTCAGCAATTATCATTACTTTTATGAATGGTTTTGAAACGTTCGTCACTCAATGTCTGTTATGGCTAGATCAATTTTATCCATTAGTCAAAACGTAGACACTAAGTAATGAGACACTAAGTAATGAGACAATAAGTAATGATACACTAAGTAATGAGACAATAAGTAACGAGACACTAAGTAACGAGACACTAAGTAACGAGACAATAAGTAATGAGACACTAAGTAACGAGACACTAAGTAACGAGACACTAAGTAACGAGACACTAAGTAACGAGACACTAAGTAATGAGGCACGAAGGAATGAGACAATAAATAATGAGACAATAAGTAATGAGACAATAAGTAACGAGACACTAAGTAATGAGACACTAAGTAATGAGACAATAAGTAATGAGACAATAAGTAATGAGACAATAAGTAGAGACAATAAGTAATGAGACAATAAGTAGAGACAATAAGTAGAGACAATAAGTAATGAGACAATAAGTAATGAGACAATAAGTAATGAGACAATAAGTAGACAATAAGTAATGAGACAATAAGTAGATACAATAAGTAATGAGACAATAAGTAATGAGACACTAAGTAACGAGACACTAAGTAACAAGACACTAAGTAATGAGGCACTAAGTAATGAGACAATAAATAATGAGACAATAAGTAATGAGACAATAAGTAACGAGACAATAAGTAGAGACAATAAGTAATGAGACAATAAGTAGAGACAATAAGTAATGAGACACTAAGTAATGAGACACTAAGTAATGAGACAATAAGTAATGAGACTAAGTAATGAGACACTAAGTAATGTGACAATAAGTAGAGACAATAAGTAATGAGTCAATAAGTAGAGACAATAAGTAATGAGACAATAAGTAATGAGACACTAAGTAGAGACAATAAGTAATGATACACTAAGTAATGAGACACTAAGTAACGAGACACTAAGTAATGAGACAATAAGTAATGAGACACTAAGTAACGAGACACTAAGTAACGAGACACTAAGTAATGAGGCACTAAGTAATGAGACAATAAGTAATGAGACAATAAGTAATGAGACAATAAGTAACGAGACACTAAGTAACGAGACACTAAGTAACGCGACAATAAGTAATGGGACAATAAGTAATGAGACAATAAGTAATGAGACACTAAGTAACGAGACACTAAGTAACGAGACACTAAGTAACGAGACACTAAGTAACGAGACACTAAGTAGAGACAATAAGTAATGAGACAATAAGTAACGAGACACTAAGTAACGAGACACTAAGTAACGAGGCACTAAGTAATGAGACAATAAATAATGAGACAATAAGTAATGAGACACTAAGTAATGATACACTAAGTAATGAGACAATAAGTAATGAGACAATAAGTAATGAGACACTAAGTAACGAGACAATAAGTAACGCGACAATAAGTAATGGGACAATAAGTAACGAGACAATAAGTAACGAGACAATAAGTAACGAGACAATATATAACGAGACACTAAGTAACGAGGCACTAAGTAATGAGGCACTAAGTAATGAGACAATAAATAATGAGACAATAAGTAATGAGACAATAAGTAATGAGACACTAAGTAATGAGACAATAAGTAATGAGACAATAAGTAACGAGACACTAAGTAATGAGACACTAAGTAATGAGACAATAAGTAATGAGACAATAAGTAATGAGACAATAAGTAATGAGACAATAAGTAGAGACAATAAGTAATGAGACAATAAGTAATGAGACAATAAGTAATGAGACAATAAGTAGACAATAAGTAATGAGACAATAAGTAGATACAATAAGTAATGAGACAATAAGTAATGAGACACTAAGTAACGAGACACTAAGTAACAAGACACTAAGTAATGAGGCACTAAGTAATGAGACAATAAATAATGAGACAATAAGTAATGAGACAATAAGTAATGAGACACTAAGTAACGAGACACTAAGTAACGAGACACTAAGTAATGAGACACTAAGTAATGAGACAATAAGTAATGAGACAATAAGTAGAGACAATAAGTAATGAGACACTAAGTAATGAGACAATAAGTAATGAGACTAAGTAATGAGACAATAAGTAATGAGACAATAAGTAGAGACAATAAGTAATGAGACAATAAGTAATGCGACACTAAGTAGAGACAATAAGTAATGAGACACTAAGTAATGAGACAATAAGTAATGAGACTAAGTAATGAGACTAAGTAATGAGACACTAAGTAATGTGACAATAAGTAGAGACACTAAGTAATGAGACAATAAGTAGAGACAATAAGTAGAGACAATAAGTAATGAGACACTAAGTAATGAGACACTAAGTAATGAGACAATAAGTAATGAGACACTAAGTAATGAGACAATAAGTAATGCGACAATAAGTAGAGACAATAAGTAGACAATAAGTAATGAGACACTAAGTAATGAGACACTAAGTAATGAGACACTAAGTAATGAGACACTAAGTAATGAGACACTATGTAATGAGACAATAAGTAGAGACAATAAGTAATGAGACAATAAGTAATGAGACACTAAGTAATGAGACAATAAGTAATGAGACACTAAGTAATGAGACACTAAGTAATACGACAATAAGTAATGAGAAAATAAGTAATGAGACACTAAGTAACGAGACAATAAGTAATGAGACACTAAGTATTGAAACAATAAGTAATGAGACACTAAGTAACGAGACAATAAGTAATGAGACACTAAGTAATGAAACAATAAGTAATGAGACAATAAGTAACGAGACAATAAGTAGAGACAATAAGTAATGAGACACTAAGTAACGAGACAATAAGTAGAGACAATAAGTAATGAGACACTAAGTAATGAGACACTAAGTAATGAGACAATAAGTAGAGACAATAAGTAATGAGACAATAAGTAATGAGACAATAAGTAATGAGACAATAAGTAATTGATCTGAAAATAGTTATAATTTATACCAGCACTATAATTAAAATCAAGGATTTCTATTACTTTATTACAAACTTATATTAGAATCATTTCTTAGACATATATGTTGCATATAAATATACAAAAGCCATTCACATTCAATGAAAAACTCTAAAAGTGTTAAAATATTATAATAATTCAGTGATATACAGGTTTTCTAGTATCTTAATTCAGACAATAAAAAACACAAAAATGTCACATACAATTCACATAAATATACATTATTATACATCTGTCATCGTAATGCCATATATTACAGCGTGCCATAATTTTGCGGTATTTTACAGGGTATTTTCATCCTACTATATTAGAAAATGCGAATTCCAAATATGGAATGATTACGTGCCTAAGCGTCCTCTAATAATAAAAACAAACATGGCTGCCACCAGGGTTTGACCGGACTCCCACAAAGAAGTTCGCTGATTCTGTTCTAAACTTGTTATGATGTATCCTTGGTAGGAAAAGATGTATAATAATGTTATTAGAAGATACTTCAAAGTATGCACTCAGACAGTACGCTGTTGCATCAACTTCCGCTGCGCGTCGGTCGATACTGCCGCTGTACTGTCTTTGCAAAAAAAAAATGAGCTATTCTCATAATAACCTTATATTATTGCGCCCTCCAGTGATGAACATGTGAAACCTTAATACATAATACTTGATGGAGTCCACCATCATGTGCCATGCTGCTTAAGTCGGAGAAGGGTCTTCAAGAAATTAATTTAAGACTGTAGATGTCACGGCAAATTTTTTTAATTTCTGTACAAGGTATTCAAAAAAAATTCAATTTTCCATTGTAAATCATGGAGAAAAATTGGATAAAGTTCTTGAAAAGTGGAGAAACAATTTGTGTAATAAATGCATAAATAGATTGTCATTCACATAAAGTACAATATTTATTTATTTATTTATGAAAAACTAACAAATAATTGAAATATATCCGAGTAAAATTACAACTCTGCTGTTTTAAAGCTGTTATTTAAAATTAGTTTAAAAGAAAAGCAGAGAATAAAGGGTGACCAGAACTATTTCCATGGCGCAACAACATTTTTGAGTAGCAACCAGGTGGAAAGAAAAAATGTATCAACATTGCCCCAATATAACATGCAAGTGTAACATTAAATGCATTTTTTTTAGTTGAGTTTCACAGCATATTCATAATCTTTATTTTGCTATTACACCAGTTCCATGAATACATTATTGTGATTGGACAATACCCTGTTTTAATGTTTTATACAGCATACTGTACCCTTATCTATGGATATGGTTTTGAAGTTATGCCCCAGAACATGAATACGACATATTGGTAGCTAAAACAGCATCTTTCAAAAATTGGATTTAATCCTCTTTTCTGATAGACATTATGATAGACAGTTAAAAAAGAAAGTCACTTTTCAGAAACAGTGTTGGTCTAGAAAGCAACACTGCTGTTAGCAAATTTGCCAAGCCCGTGTGACGTAGTGCAAACAAATCTAAAGTTTTCACCTAAAAATACAATTTGAAAACAAACTTAATTTCAACTATGCTGCCTGCCACTTAGTATATCTCAAATGCGCCCATTATATTGTACTCCAGATGCGTTCAAGAACACATCATTGCCGTTCGATTTTGTTTCCTCAAATTCCATAATTTAATTTGGGTACAACTCTTGATATTGAACAATTCACTCCATACTAGAACTGTGACTTATGTATATTAGTTGTGAATATTGAGAATCAGTGTTACTATGGAAAGTAATCCCTTGGAACTCCTCTATCCTTGGTTGAGTAGTGTCATTTAAATTGGAGCATGATTTTTGCGTGAAAGTAATATTTATAATAAAGTTTCTTAATTATTATATACTGTAAGTACAATATTATTTATGGACACTTTTTAAAGGTTGCAGCGTAAACAAAATTGTTTCAAAATGTTGATATTTTAAAAGAATTTTTTTTTAAAAATCAAGCAAAAAAAATTATGCTAAAATTAATTTAAAAATATATAGTGTAATTTTTAAAGCAATCTGATTATAAAAACATATTTCACATATTATTATTATTATAATATTATTTAAATAAAAAAATACATATTGCATGGGTTGAAAATTTACCCTTAACACCCCCCCCCCCCCCCCCCGCATCAAGCCATGTATAATAATAAATTGCATTTGAAGTATTTTCGGCAGAACAGATGCAATAAGGGATTTAAACAAGGTATAATCAAAGACATTAATACTCTCAGACATTGCACATTTTAAACGTTTTCTGCATAAAAATAGTTTCAGATTTCTGAATTTGTTAAAAAATCACTTCCAAATATTTTTCATTATCAAAATAACATATAGACTTATATAAAGCTGTTTAAAATTGTATACATAAATACAACACACATGTACATGCACACACAAATGTATGCACACATGCAATATCACACATAAAAATATCTGACACTTGTTGGTGGGAAACTGCACTGCACCATTTAGGCAACTTAAACAATCCTTAATACTAATCAGTGAAAGCTGCTCACATGGCAGAGCAGACATTTTTGCTTATCAGGGAATGTTAAATGGAAAAATTAAGAAGTCAACTATAGATACAAATGATAAACAGCAAAGCTAAGGAGTCAACTATAGTCATTGAATGATAAACAGCAAAGCTAAGGAGTCAAGTATAGTCATGGAATGATAAACAGCAAAGCTAAGGAGTCAACTATAGTCATGGAAAGATAAACAGCAAAGCTGAGGAGTCAACTATAGTCATGGAATGATAAACAGCAAAGCTAAGGAGTCAACTATAGTCATGGAATGATAAACAGCAAAGCTAAGGAGTCAACTATAGTCATGGAATGATAAACAGCAAAGCTAAGGAGTCAACTATAGTCATGGAATGATAAACAGCAAAGCTAATGAGTCAACCATAGTCATGGAATGATAAACAGCAAAGGTAAGGAGTCAACTATAGTCATGGAATGTTGGATAACAAAGCTAAAAAGTTGACTGCAGTCATGAGAATTAAATTTAACAAGGTTAAGGAGTCAAATACAGTCACAAAATTTAAATTTAGCAAAGCTAAAGAGTTGACCACAGTCATGAAAATCAAATAGCAAGTTAAATAGTCAACTGTAGTCATAAAAGTCAAATATCAAAGCAAAAAATTGCTAAGCTAAGGAGTCAAGTATAAAGTTCAGTAGTGAAAAAAAGGTTAACTATAGTAATCAGTATGTAAATTAAAAATATACAAAGCTAATCATTGAAGATTGTGATTGTTCTAGAATCAATGCTTCACATGATAATGTATAACTGTTGTCGTTCAAAAGTACAGAAATTATAACTACTATAAATACTGTCAACAGTTTTGTTTTTTGTTGATCGAAATGTTCACAAGTTGTGAATTTAAAGGCATTTGAAGTCAGGACAGGTCTTAAAAATCCAAAACATTCACTGCTACAAAAATTGCTATGACATGCCTTCTTAAAAATCCAAAACATTCACTGCGAAAAAAGTCTGCAAGACATGTCGCCTTAAAGATCCAAAATGTTCACTACTACAAAGGTCGCCACGACATGTCTTCTTAAAAATACAAAACGTTCATTGCAACAAAAGTCGCCATGAAATGCCATCTTAAAGATTCAAAATGTTCACTGCAACAAAAGTCGCCATGACATGCCATCTTAAAGATTCAAAATGTTCACTGCAACAAAAGTCGCCATGACATGCCATCTTAAAGATTCAAAATGTTCACTGCAACAAAACTATACTGCTCTCTCTAACTCATACATTTTCCTCTCGCAAAACTAAAGCGGTTTACAATATTTTCGTTCTACATAGTCTACTCTTCAAACTTGCTAACATTCTCTACTATATTCATGTATACATGCCTATAATATATATGTCACACCTACTCACAGCAATGTTAATATAGAAGATAAATTTGTGCTTCATCACTCAACACATTCCTTCCTTGGTATATTTAACACTGAGAAAAAAACAAACTATATATATCTAACTCTAAATGTATTAGTGCCATGACAATTAAGTACAAAGACATTGCAGAAAACTTCAATATTCGAGAAGAAATATTAGTTTGAATTCTAGTAGACCATACATAACAAGATGTCTATGTGAAATGGCATTTATAACTGGACAGTCAAAAGCACAATACAGATGGAAAAAGGGTGTGGCAGGTGGAATAGCTCAGTTAGTGACTAGAATCTTAATAATGTTCAGGGAAAGTACGACTGGGACAATGGAATATGGAGCCTCTTTGTTAGTATCTGAGAATATAAAAATCAAAGTGGTGTATTGGAAGCATTGATACCATAATTAGTAAACACAGGTTCTTCCATGGCTTGATAAGTGTCATTATCATATGATTTCATTTCTTCATTTAGTTCCTGCAGACAAAAGAAAAATCCATGTTTATATTCTTACATGTATACTTGTATCCCCTCTATCACATCAAATGTTATGTACCCAATAATGTATGATATAGCTAACATGTATTGGTACATTTTCTCATTTACATATTGATTTCATGTTTTACTCATTTACATATTGATTTCATGTTTTTTAATTTACATACTGATTTCATGTTTTCTCATTTACATACTGATTTCATGTATTTTCATTTACATACTGAATTCATGTGTTCTCATACACATATCGATTTCATGTGTTTTCATTTACATACTGATTTCATGTTTTCTCATTTAAATACTGATTTCATGTGTTCTCATTTACATACTGATTTTGTGGGTTCTCATTTACATACTGATTTCGTGGGTTTTCATTTACATACTGATTTCATGTGTTCTCATTCACATACTGAATTCATGTGTTCTCATTTACATACTGATTTCATGTTTTCTCATTTACATACTGATTTTGTGGGGTCCCATTTACATATTGATTTCGTGGGTTCTCATTTACATACTGATTTCATGTTTATGTTTCATTAACATAATTTTATGTTTCTTCATTTACATATGAGTTTCATTTACATACTGATTTGATCATGTTCTTATTTACATACCAATATCATGTTAGATCTCTGTTATTTAAGTAAACGCATAAGTTTCTAATAATAGAGCAAATACGGTACTTACCCTGGGTAATTCAACTCTCCCATTGATATACTTTAAAGTAAGCGTGTCATCCCATGGATCAGCATGTGTGAAATTATACGTTGATGCTGAACGTGATCTTCTATAGCAGATCAGTAAGATAATTATAACTAGAATAAGAAAATACAATCTCTTAATTTTATTGAAAATTATGAAGAGCTGGAGAGGTAAGTCTGCTCTGCAATAGTGGTAGTGGTCACATTGAGTGTTTGCTACTTGAATCCATGGAGATCAATTACCCTTGGTGTTCTATGTTTTAGTGTGCAGAAAAGGATGTTTTGCATGTCAAAATTGCATGACAGCTGCCAGATGCCATAATAGGTATCATGCTACAATTAAACTCTGTACTTGCAAAGTGAACAACACATGTTTTTGTCTAGCAAACTAAAAGACTGGTTTATTCTAGACTAGTTTTTTTTTTTAAATTAAACATTAAACAGTATTATAAGTTGACAGCCTTTAAAAAGAAACCAAATCAACCACATTAATTGTTTATTCTGGTGTCATATTAAGTGAAACAGTTAAAATACAAGGCTAGCATGCCATACCTAGAAAATAATGTTGACAGGGTAATTACATTTGTACACAAATACAAGTTGTTGTGTTAATTAATCCAACTGTATATTACATGTATATAGATGTGCGCTACTTGGGGGTAATACATGTACATTTCTGCTTACCTATGATAACAACAGCTAAGATACAGCCAAGAGTTATACCAACAATCTCTCCAGTGCTTAGACTGCTCCCACCAGAAGTACCTTCTGTGACACTAATTGTGGTGCTACTACTAGTTGATACTGCACTGGTATGCTGACTAGTTGATACTCTT